GTCATTCATTAATTAAGGATTAATGTCTTTTTATTTTCTACTCACAGAAAAAATGTTCTTACTCTGGCCAATGAATAAAAAGTCCCTTAAGTGTTGGTTCTACTGACACGACGAATACGCTTCGTATGACATTCCATAAAGAAAATCATTTTTCTTACACTTACACTGGCTTATTAATGATTCATACGAGTATTTATGATTTTTTTGTGTTTCTAATTTCTACTTTACTGCATTTAATGGTCGTCTGTCGCTGTAAATAGTCATATGTACGTATAATATTTGTACGTTTGTACGTTTATAACACCTATCTATTCTGTGCAAAGTTGCTCCCTTCTAGTCATAATTAATTGAATATTATTTCAATATATTCAGCTAATTAGAATGTCAGATTTAGAACAGAAGCGCGAAAAAAGTGAAAACGGTTAACAAATCACATTACATGCACACACATGTATTGCATACATGTACTCATACATGCTATTTGGTCATTGAGCTGAATGCATAGCTCAATTGAATGTCTCGTCTAGACAAATAAGCACGGATGAACGAAGCGACTAACGATTGAAGTGATTGGTACAATAAGTAATTTTTTTCAAATAATGAATAAATGACTTCCCCTACTTGTTGTTTTGGTAAATATATTAATGCCAGTAAAGGTTTGTTGAATCGGATCATAAAACGGCTCTTTAATGTGGAAGTCAATAGACCTCTCATGTGCATAGGATCGATTTCTATTTGCGCTAATACTCCACATTCCAGGTAACAAATCAATACACATTTACCCTTTTTTTACAGCAAATAACATTCATAGTTTTCTAGGAAAAAATATAATTTGACTTGCAAAATCTGCACTCTGACTGGCAACAAATCAATCTATCCCCCGAAGTGTTCCTGCTATGTCATTAGATCTTTTATTCGTCCAAGAATAAGTTATACTCTGAGAACGCATTGCCGTCTTTAGAGCCTTTCCGTTGAACCTTTGTGTCTAAAATGACGGTTAACAAAAACAGGTCGACTATATGTGGTCGGTTCCATCTTGGCTTTCGTTATTATCTAATTTCCATAAGTTTACCTTTGAGTTGGTGGTTGTGCCATTCTCTTACCTGAGTGTGTGGCTGTGATATTTTTTAGAAACTTTTGAAGTTTTCTCAACTCATCAACTTTTACTCTCAAATACTGTATGACATAACAAACTAATTTTAACGTGAAAGCGCAAATTCCATTTTTTACTGGAAGCCTGGGGTAGGAATTCGAAACACTCAAAAAGAAACCGGTAATCGAGTTTTGGCAGAGCTCGTCCTATAGTCTGCGGAGTGTGTATTGATATATTTTCAATAAATGAAGAGAACAGAAGTTTATTCGATGACAATAGCTGAAGGGTTGTTATGAGCAGCTTTTTATTTCATGCTAGAAATACACCAGGAGCGGTAAATTCCCTACAATTTTCGATATTGCTTGTGACCGAGTTCTACCCCACGATCTTACACATTGTCGCAGGCACTGGTAACTTCTCTGCGACAGTCTTTACTTTTCACCAAATTTCATATTCAGGAATACAAAAGTTTCTTAAGCATTTAAAGTGGATGGATACTGTTATGATCCCACATCAGCTTCAAACTATGTATCAATTACAGGAAGTTTGGCCAAGACTTTCTATTCCTGTCTTTACCATATTTTCATGGTGCATATGAGTATAATAAGGTATACCCCCTTAGGTTTCGTAGCATATTTGATTGAAATCTCTGTACTCAACGCAAACGAGTGACGTAAGTAGAGTCTCATAATTGTATTCGTACATATATTGCCTTTAAGACAGAATAGTATACAAGGATTTTATGATCCAGTGATGTATTATAACAGAGATATGATTCTTCCATGTCAATCTAATATATATAGATATTTAAATTCACTTCCTTGAGAGAGCATTACTTTATAAAGCTTCGAAATTGGACATGTAAAATAACGGTATCCTCTACGAATGTTGAGATTTTTACTTCTGCCCTTGTTGGAATTTCCGAATAAAATAAGACATACAGTGTTTGGCCCTATCTGCTAGCCCGTATGCCAATGTTATGCTTATCTAAATCTTTTATATGAAAAAACTTACCGGGGCGTATGAGCAACATTCCGATATCCATTGTCCCATTAATTGTATTTTAAAAATTTAAGAACAATAACTGACATTTTAAAACTGTGAAACTCCAGGAAAGACGGCATACGAAAAAAATATCAAATTCTTCTTCTCTGACATAGACACCGTTTATGCGACCATAGCCGTGGTAACAACAGCACGTTTCTTCTTTTAGCGGTTCGGCGCAAATGTGAAACATAAAGTTGTGTTTGGTTTTTTATTATCTGATCGTTCCAAACGAAATGGCAAACTTCCCAATTTTTCACCACTTTTAGATCTGAACAGCTTCTGTTGGCGTTGATGACATGACCTGATCAACGTAGTCGTTAACTGAACTATTTATGTCAAAAAGGGGTCGTATATTTCATACAACTCGTCTGAGGGTAATGCAGACGTTTACCGCGAAGACAACCAAGGTCGACTTATCGAATATCGACATCATTCACGGTTCTACATCTTGTGCGAATTGTAAAATTCGGTCTTTGTTCGTCGAGAGAGGAGCTTACTTCACAATTGCATGCTTAGTTCAAGGTAGTAACTGTTGGCAAGAGTTATTTTGCGTTTTATTTCCAGACTAATATAGTCATTAGTCTTTACTCAGTAGTATTTTGGATTGACGAAATTATCTACAACTTAAAAACTAATGAATAATAGTGACCTAGAACCAAGACATGTTTTCACTCTTACTGAAAGAGGATACTTTTTCAAATTAGTCCCGTCAAAATAGATCAAAAAGGCAGTAGGGAAGACTCAAATATTTGGACTTAGCTCAAAATTAAAATTAAATGAAAACAAAACAAAAAAAATATATATATATAAATAAATAATCAGCGAAGTGATACAGCTAACGCCCATCGATATTCGCTTAAACAACATATATTTATAAAAATATCCTGGGGAAAATAATTTTTCATAATTTTTTTATTTTCTTCACCTGTTAAATGAGACGCTGGCAAAGAAATAAAAAACCTTCTTTATTATTTGAATGTCTGTTTATTTTCATATTGAATTGTGTACATTAAATGCGCTTACCTACAAATAGTTATGTATTTTATTATTTATTTTTACTCTTATTTTTCATTCAGTTACAATGCGGCAGAGATACATTGGGCAGCGAAAATTTTGAAATTTGTAGGAATATATATAACTAGTAGTTGGAAAAATGGTTTGAATAAAGATATTTTGTTTTAATGAAAGGAAAATCTTAAAGTCTTTACTAAAAATTTATTCTTTTATAGGAATAAAATAAATTTAAATATAGTTTTTTATTTTGAAAAATATTAGACACTTTTATTTAATTGTATAATTTTAATGAAAAGTGTTAAGAAGTAAAAAATATTCATAAAAATTTTTCAAAGAAATATTCACATTATTATTAATTATTAATATGCTTTAGACAGGAAGATTTAAAAGGAGTCTTAAAACGATTTATACAAGAAAAATAATTTAATAGGTTACTGTTGAATGAGATCAAATTTATTTCGCTGAATTAAATGAGAGCGAAATCATTCGCATAAACCTAAAATACATTTGTGAGTATCGCCAAATATTTAAAAGAAATTTTTTTGAACAAAACTTGCAACAAAAAAATTATAAAGTTTTTTTTTAAATACATTTTCCAATTTTTTTTTTTTGAAAAAATCGGCTTTAAAGTGAATAATATACTATATGCTTTTATTTTAGTTTTAAAAATATTTTTACACCGATAACCCAAGGAATAAAATGAAATTCTATTTCATAAATAACATAAAAACAAAATTTAGAAAATTGCTTTTAAAATTTTTTTTTATTTATTTACAAAAAAAAAATGAAAAACTGCCCAGTTTTCACATTTACGGTCCTAATTGCCATACTTAACTGCCTTATTTTCACTATTTTTTTGCCTTTTTTGTGGGGAGCATTATTTTTATAATTTAAATTTTCTTGGAATTTTAATAAGGGTTCTACATATAAGAGAATCTATACGTATTTATTCTTCTTTTCGTTTCATTTTAACAATATTTTTGCTCGCTCAATTTTCATCCAATTAATTTTAATTCATTTTTATTACCACCGTTTAAGCTTATAACTGATATTTATTTATTTATCTATATATTTATTTATTAAATATTTTATAAGCTAGAATTTAGTTTTTATTCATCTTTTTTCTTTATTTAATTTATTCTCAATAACAGTAAAATTCAATGAATTTTTTTTCGACCTTTGCCTCAGTTCGCTTTGAATTTTTTTTGTGAACACACTGCCTCTAATTAGTTAATAATATTTCTTTTTTAATTTTTTTGGTCATTATGTATGTAACTACACTTTTTATAGTAATTAAATTTAATTTTATACTTATTCAAACAGATCAGCTTAAATGCGTAACAAAATCTTAATTTAATTAATTACAATTAATGGCTTTTTTAACTTTTCTGTGTAGATGTTTATTCATTTTTGTTGTTTTTTTTTCTCTTCGCTTTTCCATGACGACAATATACAAAGTTCATGCAGCAGCAAACTGAGTGAATTGAAGGCTTCTTATGTACAAAAAATATGTTACAATTAAATTTGTATGAAATTTAAATTACAATGAATTTAATTATAATCACACATACATACAATACATCTGTTAATTAATTTTATTTATACATAGTTATGATTTTTAATTTTTTGCCTATAATCTAATATTAGTTTATGTTTCACAAATTTGTAGTTTACAATTACACTTTTAATTATTTTGCTATAGTTTAACGCTATTTACAGTAATTTTTTATTAAATTTACTTTTCGTTATTTCAGTAAATATTTATTACTTTTTACTTACGCTTACTGCTTTGTTGGAACATTAATAAATAATTCATATTTAAATTGTGCTAAAATTTATTTTTTTACTGCTAATTTAGTTTAATATAGATTTTTTTCTTCAATATTCTTCTATGATTTTTTGCAGTTAGTTCTAAATCGAATACCTTATATATGATTATTTATAATTTATTCGTTACGTTTAATATAAGTCTTAGGTTAAAAAAATGCGCCTGAAAATATAAGGAAAAAATTTATTAAAATTTTTCATAAAATTAGTAATATAATATTTATACTTTATTGCATGATATATTTTTTATACGATGCAAAAAAAAAATTCTATAAACTTTTTATAAGTGATGAATTATAGGAATTTTGGTGTGGAGCAGAAATAGTTATGGTTATAAGAAACTTGAGGTTAAAATGAAAAAAAATGTTAACAGCAATAAAACTTTTTTAATGAATTTAAAACAGTTTTTATTATTTTTTTATAATTTTATTTATTGATTTCATAATTTTTTTTTAATTTAGTTGAATCAGTTGAGCAGCAACTACCAACGCATTTGGACCTAAGTTGACATTTTGATACCGTTAAGTGGTTCCTAACACCTTCTCAAAAGTACGAATAAACGAGACGCGAGACAGCTTATACTAGACAGTCTTAGTGTTCAATGGCTTCTTGCTTTTCTTCTTTCCGGCAACTGCGACACAATTAAATCACTTTCACACCATGAATACTCTTTCTAAATTTTATATATTTTATTTTTTATGTTTTTTTATATAGTTTGGCTGTCAGGATATTGCATAACCTATTGTCTTGATAGTGCTGCTACTGTCTGGCGATTTTTTGCTCAATCGGTTAGGAGCATCGGTGTTTGGATTTCACAGCCTACGACTTTAGATGACTCTGTTAATACTCTGTTTACTCACGAGTCGTTGTATTGTCCTGAGGTGCCCTTAAGGGAGCTGAAGGCTGAGCCCTTGTTGAACACTTCGTCGCCTTAAAGTCTCATTACCGGTGTATATGTATTATTTATGCGAAGAACAAAATCCAATCAACCTTTTTTTCCCCTCCGCAATGCAAGTTAAATGAAGTTATGGAATTCTTCAGCCCTTCTTCCGCATTTCAGCATATACAATTATATTATCTCGAGATATTTGACTATGGTAGATAGAGAGAAAGAAAAAGAGAAGGATTTCTATGCCCTTTATTCTAACTGTTTCACATACCATTGATCTTGCACCAGATCCGTACAGTGTACTTGGGTAGGGTATTCACTTCCTTACCTCAATCTACAGCAGTAGGCATAAGAAGAGTGTCTATTTTTTTAATACAGATCCAGCTCGACTCAACTCAGATCTTTTTTCTCAATTGAGACTTCATAAGATTTGACTTCTGCTGTTTTGGGTTTGTTGAAAGCCATCTCTATGCAGGGAGGCAACCCCAAACGTGTATTCCTTCCAACTGATTATGTCGTTTATTATTTGTTATTTTTATGCGATAATTAATTAATTTCTTATCAAGAACGTGATATATTTTATTTTGTAATAATTTTTTATTTTTAATTATTTACACAAATTATTTGTATATATTAACAATTTATTATTTGTTAGCTATTATATATTATTATTTATTTAATGCTACTTATTTACTTTATTCTCATTTATAATTTTTTATCCATTTCAAAAAATTTAATATTATTTTTTTTTATATATGTACATATGTATGTACAATACATATGGTAGTTTTTATCAGCATTTTTTTTATTAAATTTTTATTATTAATATTTATTATTTTATGTTTTTATATTTATTTATTAATTACAATTAATTTTTAAATATTTAATGTACAATATTTGCTTTGACTTCTTTCTGGTTTTTTTTTTTTGGAAACACTATAAGTACACTCACCTTATACCCAGCGTATTCACCAGCACACAAGGTGCCAAAAGATACTTAAATATCGCTGCAATCCGATCGGCCGAGGAAGTTTTTCGTGATATAGCCGCCATATTATCGCCTGTGAAAAAATAGTCAGTAAAAACAAGGTCAACGAATATTATTAAAACAACAAAGTTAGTGCCATAATCAAAAGTCATAAAAAATTATGCATTAAATATAAATGCAAATTCAAATGCAAATCTGTGAATTAATTCGTATATTCCCTCCTTTCCAAATCTACTTGCATTTCGGCAACAAATAAAATTGCAACTACGAATAGGAAATATTTGCTGGGCGATAGCAGATTTGCGTAAAATCCCATTTAAATGCAAAAATTTGCAAATACGACAAAACGTAAAAATAATGAAAAAGTAGGCAACTGAGAGCAAATATTATACTGTTGCAAAAATTTTGTTGGCAATTATAGTGTTTCGGGGCTGGTTGGAATGAGTGTGAAATGTGGCCAACAGCTGCTGCAAATGTGATGACAAAAAAAAAAGAAAAACAAAATTAAACCAAAACAAAAACAAAAGGATATGAAAATATAATTGACATTTAATAACCAGTGAGCTTAAAAAGAAAAATATTTTTAATACATATAATTCTATCCACAAATATAAATGGTAGCATATTCTCCATACATGTATATATATATAAGTGTATATGTGCACAATTTTCCCAATACTTTTTTTCTTCGCCGAATTTCTTGTATGCTACTATTTTTGTCGTATTTAATTTTTCATACGAAACAGCTGCCATATAATATTCTCTCTATTATTTCACTCACCTTTTGACACGAAAACATAAATGCTCGCTGGCTCTGTATTACTGGCTGAACATGTATAATTTCCCGAATCGGATATTTGTGGTTCTCTTATGATGAGACGACTTTGTGTACGCGGACCGGGTGTTGTCTCGATGGAAATGTCACGTCTTGAATCATAATAATTTATAAGTCGATCGTTTTTCTGCCAATACACATATTGTGGTGGAGTTGGACTCTGAAAAGGTAGAAATTAATTTTAAAATGAATTTAGAAGAAATATGTTCAATTCAATTGGAAAGAGTTTATTACATTATAGATATATATAATGCAAATATTGGGTTAAGTAAAAATTAATCAATTATATTTGCATAAAATTTAGTGGTTTAATTTTTTGTGTTCATATCCAGCATTATTCAAATAGTTTCAAACGGTTTTTTGTGCAATCTTTAGCTCTAGGGCAATCGAAACAGTGCTTACATGACCCTGAGACTCGACCAACTTCATGATTTGATGAACCCTACAGGGTTTTAACTCGCTAGTTTGTATGTGATGTTGGTTTATATATCAGAAAAAGATATATACGAGTAAAGTGGCTCTACAAAAAGTTTCGATATTGAAAAATTCTATGTGTCATGATAAAGTGCACACATTTCAATACAGACAAACACACAAACATGCAAAAATGCAAACAACTTGAGAAAAAATTAAATTTATTCTACACACCCACGAGGGAGCAACCGAAGCTCACAAGGACACTGGTCACCAATGTCAATTGAAACCAAAAAACAGTGTTGCATTCTTTTTGATGATCACAGAGTTAAGCGACAAAGCGACTAGCTTTGTGGCAGGATATGCGCCGCCAACGCCTGCCATGCCAAAATACTTCGCCACCAAAGCAGAGTAACCAAAAAAAAAAACAAAGTATTCACTTTGTACTCGTATTCGCAGTGTGGCTGTTGGTGTGTTGCCGTTGCGTGAGCAGCATTGCAACGCGCTCGAATGGAGCATATCATTCATATTATTACGCTTATACATACTGGCGCAAGTATGTATTTTTATTCAATACATATTTACGTGCTGCCTGCGTCAGCAATTCGAAGGATTCCAGCAATTCTGGCAAGCGGTATGTTGCACGCCTTCCAAGTGCAAATATACACGTATGTACTTATATATCTACATGTTAGTATGTGTAAATGCATGCGTTTGCTAGAATGCGGTTGCAGGTTGCACAAATTCAATTACCGCAAAGCAAAAAGGTAACACAGTGTTGTATGCACACGAAGCGCATCCACAAAAGGATACAAACACACAAACACACGTACGTGCAAATACATTTTTATGCGAATATGCGGAAGTTGGGTATGCGAAGTAGGTGTAGGAGTGTGTGTGTTGCCGTGTGCGCACACATGCGTGCTTGTACGTGTCCAGCAAGGGTGATGTATTACGAAATTTCATATCTGATCCACACACACACACACACACACACACACACACACACACACACACACACACACCCACACACACACACACACACACACACACACACACACACACACACACACCCACACACGACTGCAATGCTGCTCTTCTTTTTTCACTTTTTCTCAATTTCGCTTTTTTTCACATATCCTTATTCAATGCACTACGGACAGCAGTGCCGGTTTATCTCTTCTGTTTTTGTAGACAGATATTTTGGTCAGCTATTCTCAGCGCATTATACCAGCTGGAATTAATATGTGCTAATATATATACATATGTATGTAAGTATGTAAGCGCACACATGTACATATAAAATTCTTTCATAAGCCATTGATGAATCGCTGAATGAAACGCTTTTTATTTACACTCAGCTATTGAAGCGAAGCTTATGTAATAAAAGATCATGTGGTTTTATCTACCATTTAGTGCATTTTATTAATCTTTTGGAAAGTTTGAGCTGCCAGTTATTCATTTCATTTCGATTTTTGTTGAAAGCTTCCAGGGTAGCTTAGTTTGATTTTGAGATTGAAACAAACAAAAAAGTAAAAATAAATGTTAAATTTATTGAAAATTTAATTTAGTTCAAAATTGAGGGGCTGAACTTGTAAAATCTGTATTTTGAGGTGCATTTAAGTTTGCTTTAAGAGTAATTTAATAGAACTGAAGGGTTTGTCTTATATATATTTTTCCCAAGTTTCATGGTCTCATTGGGTGTCTGAATTTTGAAAACTGATTTGGCGTATATAAAGCTGAAAGTATTTAAGAGGTCATATAAGTATTTGCCTCCAAAATTTTGATCAAGCTAATTGCTTTAGTCCAGGAAGGTGTTTGAAGTATCGAAAGGTTCGTGGAATCCACACTGGCTTTCGTAATAAACCCCAACCAGTCAAGGACAGTATTTTTGAGACATTAACTAGATGTGTTCACTTTTCAGACACCTCTTATGAAAACGGAGTAGTGCCCTACTTCACTCTGAGAATATTTTTAAAGATCTGCGAAGTGATAGTTTTGCCTGGACATACAAACTAGCACAATACCAGTCTAAAGCTGAGGCACATTGAGATATAGGTTTTTGTGATACCGAATTATGTGTAATAATTACGTTTGCAATATCAAGCAGCCGCGGTAGCCGAATGTTTAGCGTTGCGTATTGACATTCAGAAACCCCGAGTTCATATCCCCGTACCTGCAACATCCAAAAGTTATGGATAATTAATTTAAATGAAGAATTAAGTTTTCTATTTGCGGTCGCCCCTCGACATGGAGTATCCACCCCTCAAAGCGTATTTCGGATATGAAATAAAGCTCCTTATAAGAAAACCCTCAGCCGTTCGGCGGTGGCTTAATAGAAGTTGTAGGTCCCTCTATTTTTTGGAAAAACATCAATACGCAAAACTACAAATTGGAAGAGGAGCTCGTCCGAAAAATCGCTTCAGCGGTTTCGAAACCCCAATTAGATATAAATTATATTGCTATCACTGAAATTAGACTTTAAGCTTCTCAAGCCTTCTCATATTAAATACCATATATTCATATTAACTTAAATGGGGCTATATAAAAAATTCTCAAGAAATATCGGCTTCCAAAACTACATTATTACTTGTGTAGTAACGGTAACAAAGCGCCAAAAAGTGAGGCAATATGTAAAAAATGTAGTTGAGATCCCAGCATACACATCCAAATATACTTACTGACACCAGCAACAGTGGTAGCGAACAACCAAAGTGTCCGTAACAAAATATTGTGCAATAATAACTGTAATAATTTCAGCTGCGAAAACTAACGCAAAGAAAAAGTGAATAAGATTTCGGATAGCTTGACGTAACCAACATTGAATGCCAGTGCGCTTATTCGTCCGTCGCCCTTCCTTTCACCTTCGTCAGCAGAATTTTTATATTTGCAAGCGTTTTGGCTTTTAAACACACATAAGTTAAAGTGCAATCGTGTACGAATTTAAACTTATTTTCGCTTTATATATTTATATATATAGAATATAGAAATTAAAATAAATTAACTAATTTGAGTTACAAACGAAAAGTGTAAAATAAATTTTATTAAAAAATAGAAGTTTATCTTCATTCAAGTATATGTATATACGAGGTATGCTCAAAAAGTATTGCGAATTTTGAATTTTCGGGGGTTACGTATAATCGAATTTCGATTTTTTTGTGGCGTTATGTTGGTACTCATGTCTGTCACTTATGCCGACAAGCTCGGCCATTTTCAATGTTCACTTAATTGTTGACAGCTGTTTTGCTTGCACGTGTTTTGGATGGTCTTCGATTTTTACCTATACAAAAAAATGGATCAAAGAACCTGTATCAAATTTTGTGTGAAAAACGAAATTATGTATTCCGAATGTTGACTGTGGCATACGGAGAAGCTACCTTGGACCGAAGCAATGTTTATCAGTGGTAAAAAATTTTCTCAGAAAGCCGAGAAGATGTGAGCGACGAAGAGCGTGCCGGACGCCCGAGCAACTCAACAACAGACGAAAAAATTAATTGTAGGGGTGTAGTGCATAATGAGTTCTTGCCACAGGGTAGAACGGTCAATAAGAAATATTACCTGAAAGTAATGTGCAATTTGTGCGAAGCAATCCGCCAGAAACGCCCGGATGTGTGGAATAACGAAAATTGGCTTTGGCACCACGATAACGCCCCTGCTCACACATCGTTGCTTGTGCGCGACTTTTTGGCCAAAAACAACACACCGTAGCCGCAGCCACCGTATTCCCCAGATCTGGCCCCCTGTGACTTTTTCTTGTTCCCTAAACTGAAGAGGCCCAAGAAAGGATTACGTTACGCTACGATTGACGAGATAAAGATGGCATCGAAGGAGGTGCTGAACTAGATAAAAAAAAATGTTTTTTGAAGTGCTTCGAAGATTGGAAAAACCGTTGGCACGAGTGTATAATATCTCATGGGGACTACTTTGAAGGGGGCAAAATAGATATTCATGAATAAATAAATCATTTTTGAAAAAACACAAAATTCGCGATATTTTTTGAACACACCTCGTAGATGCTTGTTGTCTATAAATATCGTGACATAAAAATCACTAATTTATAATAATATATATAATAATATTAAAAACCAATAGTATCACTAATAAAATGCCTATTATTGAGGACTTTCATTCTGATCCATCATAGTTCTATAAATATATATTTTTTTTTCAATTACAGGTACCTATGTATATAAATATGGATTTTTTTAAAATCAAGAGAAAAATATCTTTCATCGGTAAAAACTGGTTTTCGCAACCTGAGATAGCGAATACCTTAATGTTCAGCTGTTGGCGAATTGACTTTTACTACAACTGAATCGTCAACCACCTACGCATACAAACTGACGCATTCTTTATATACCCTTCATATATACATACTCGTATGCATTTACGTATGGACGAAAATATCTAGATGTAAGTAATTGTAATCACCGCCGAGTTGCTGGGAGCTACAAAGGATATTGCACGACTTACGCTAAGTGAGTGGCTGCCGCAAGTTTACATCCAAGTAAACACTTTCTTTCTAATAAATATTTACATATACACGTGTATGTATGTATACGTATGCATGTAGAGTATTTTACTACTCGTTCAGTTATATTAAATTTAATGGCACTTGAAATTGTTGCAGCTGCTGCGTTGCACTTTCAGCTTGCTCGGTTGCTCACTTGCTGTATATTCGCATTCATCCACGTAGACATACGTGTAAGTGTGTGTGTGTGAAGGTAAACTAGTGCATATATACATATATGCATTCGCTCGTAGCGCGTCATATAAATTTTCATTAACCCAACAAATTTGAATTTCTGTGGCAAGTAAATGTAAATTGTGTGGCCAACATAAATCTTAGCAAAAGTTGTTGACGTCCAATGTTCAAGTAAATACTCTTTGGTGTATTGCATAGTACAGTTACATACTGTAGTCGTTACATACATGCCGCTAGTATGTGTACAATGTTTTACATGAATATATAAACATACATAAACATACATACACCTGCGAAAATAACTGTATATTTGCTTCTTCTTGTTGGCGTACCCTGGCCTTGGCATATTTTTTATTTTATTTTATTTCAATTTATTTTATATTACATATTTATGTATTTATGTGCTTGCATTTGAGTATGTATCTCGGTACTTACCTTTTCAATTATGCAGACGAGATTTATTGTGGATCCCATGTCGACATGCAGCTCACCGGAGCCCAGTATGAATGCCTCGGGTACGACCACTTGCAGATTCACAAAATGTGAAATGATGCCTGTCGGCGTGGATACCTGCAGAGGAGGATATTGCGAAAATGGAATTTATGTTGTAAATTTGTCAATTAGAAATATGTATGTATGTATAGTTAAAATTTAATATTAACAATATTTTGACATTTTGAGGAAACCGTTTAGCTTCAGCATAAGACAGGAATGATGTATAAAATTTTAACAAATTTTAAAATAAAAATACCTATTTTTTTGAAGCTCGTAATTTCGGATTTCCAATACTTATTTTTTAAACGAAACTTCAAAAGATTAAAGAGATATTTTAAATTTAATTATTTATATAATTTCCTTTTTCGTCCAAGAGAAATTTTAATATTCTATTTTTAAACAATTTTTATTGGTATTATCTATAGAAAAAAAATTAATAATAATTATTTTTGCGACCATAATTCTTGTTATAAGTGTTAAGTAAACTAAAGGCCTGGTTTGTTCGTATGAATTGAATATTTGATTTAAATTTTTATTAAAAATTTTTTAGCCAAAAATAGCTTCTTTTATTTGTGGGAGTTACAAAATTAAAAAAAAAAAGTTTCGGGTACAGAAACTTAAAACGATGTACAAGCAAAGCAACCTCTTTCGTAATATTCTGATTTTCCATTCTCTAACTTATTGTTTTATTTTACTTTAGCATTGAATATGTTTTCTATTATATATTGCTTGGCATTTTTTCAGTGATTTCACCGACTTCTGATGTTGTTGGGAACTCAAGAAATTTTCTTGGTAAAAAAAATGAATACAAAAATATATATTTTTTTTTCTGTGGTAAAAATAATTTGAACAATTGAGGAGATTAACCCTTTGCGGTTGGGAGAAATCGTTATCTCCAGCAATAACTATTTTACGGAAAGCACTTCAATTAACACCTACGAAGGCAGTAGACACTCTCCTAAACTTTCCTCTACTGGATATCTGAAGAAAATTTCAAATGATCAGACAAAACTCATATTAACCCTTCCCAACAAATTCCGGGAGGTGATGTTCCTCACAAACCCCAAATTGCATAATAAGAATTTCTTTTCCCTAAAAATTTTTGTGAGGAAGTAATGTGAAATTTTAAATGTCTTAGATTAAGGAGGATTCACCATCGTTACTGACGGATCAAAACTCACTGAAAGTAAATGAGGCGGAAATGATTCTCACTCAACTTGTGCGCGAAATTGTAGCGCTTTTGTAGGGTCTTCTAGGCAGATAAAAGGTCGAGTTATACATGGTTTTTCTGAAAATATTCTCCATTACAGCACACTGTTTAATGAGAATTCACGGCATCACTTTCCCAATGCTCGCAGCAGTAAGGACATGAAGTATCGATATTACTGTCCAGCACATGGCGTCATCCCATAAATACTACTTGACAGCTTGGCTGAGCTAAACACGAGATTCATTGTCATTGTCAATCCGTAAAGGATGAAAACTTTTTCTCAAAGACTCTCAATGACTTCTCAAAGGTTGTCCACGCTTCTTGGATCATGTAGCAAGATGAATATGATGAGGAACTTGCAAAGTTTGGTCTTCGAAGACTCTATTTTTCAATGTCCTGCTCAGTCCAAAGTAGCACCTATTAGTAAGAGTGATTCTATGTTGAATCTCAAGGCAGTGATGTGAGAGCCGCATCACGAACGTCTTATGGATTAAAAGCAGAAGATATTTCGTCCTGTCTTCGTTCACTACCTGACTGTTTTGCTTCGTTTCCTATATCCAGTCTGGTTAAACCAGTACTACGAGCGAAATGCAGGAATGTTTGTTGGCCTAAAATATGAATTCATGAGCTGCTTCAACCATATGCATATGAAATAACAGCTTCTGGCTACTCCCAGGTGAATGTCAGTCTAAATCTTTCCCCCCCTGCATGGCCGCACTAGGTTACTTAAAACAAACTTTGTATGTGATTTGATTAATATTAGAAATATATATATTTCTATATACATGTATATTCGAAGAACGGCTGATAAACTTGCGACCTGAGGTAGTTAGTGATGACACATAATCTTGTTACTGATAACACTAATTGCGGGAGTATAAATAACAAAACTTTCAGTAACTTTTCGTTCCTTGAGCAAGCAACAACCCCATGTCAATGGAAACTAGAAATTCGCGCTCTGTGATTAAATTCCTTAAAAAAGGAACTACACTGAAAGAAGTTTTTAAAGAGATGCCCGTCCATATACGATGGTAAAAAAATGGACTCGGTTGTTTCAACAAGGCAGAGAGACCTGTGAAAATAAGCCCCGCTCGGGATGCCCAGTGACGGTTGTGACTGAAGAAAATGTTGAGAAAGTCGAAGAATTTAATTGTGACAGATAACAGAAGGATTGTATAATAAGCTGCAGAAATATTGCCTGAAAATTTGAATAAGAAAAAAAAAATTTGTGCGCGTTGGGTAACGCTAATGCTCACGACGCGACAACTAGAATGTTGCAAAGATTTTTTGATGTGGTGCCAAGATTATTTACATAAAAATTTGCACCCGCATTGTAACGATTAGTGAGAATCGGATTCGTTGGAATGATTCCGAGTTCAAACAGGAGTTGATGGACAAAAAAAAAAAAGCTACCAAAGGAAATCAAAGTGGAAAAGTCGCCGTCGAAGATTATGGCCGCCATTTACTGGTATATCGAGTGAATATTATCTCTTGATTACTTACCAAAGAGAACTACAATACACGGCCAGAATTACGCTTGTTTGTTTAGTCAGGTGCGTGAGGCAGTAGTGGCAAAGAGACGGGGCATGTGAGAGATTCCTTAAAATCTACTGGGCTAACGGAAATTGACCTTCCAACTTGAGCTCCGGACCTTTCTACTACTGTCTCTTACCTTTCTTTCAAAGCTTAAAAGGAGTATAAAAAAGGATGACAGGGAGATGAAAGCGGCCACAGAAAACCATTTAGAAGTGAAATTTAAATAATATTTTTTTCTGTGGTATAAAGGCATTAAATTTTGATTTGGAAAATGTATTTTATTTATTTCAATAAGTACTTTCGGCCTCTCGTATATATACGAGGCTAAGTGAATTTCAGTTATAATGTTCCACAAACGTGACGTAAGCCTCATAGCTCCGAATTTTTTCATTCATTGTATTTCGTTAAATAATTAAAATATTATAAAATATTCAAAGAGCAAAAATTGCTTTAATTAGCAGATGAAATTTTCTTTCCAAACATTTTAGTTAAATATACTAAAAAAATCGTAAAATCATATAAGCGTAAATCACACTGCAAAGACCAACTTATTATAGTTCAGTTATTTTATGTAAATAGCATTTTGCAACGTGTCATACATCACTGCTATTTCAAATCATTTGACATTTATAGAAGTTGTAATTAAAATCATGCAATATGCAGCACTTTTACAGATTTTCCATTTATTTGCCCCACAAGTTGTTGCTCTTCTCACCAATACAATTTTTGTATAATAAATCTGCTATGACATTTCGTGATTTCAGTTAGACACCTTACCCTGACAACTGGATTTATTTATTTATTTTTATTTTTCCTTTGCCTTTTGACTATTTTTGTTTATCCAGCGCAACAACACAACTTTGTCACATGTTACCACAGTTTACGTTTTACCCGTGTGTGGCATGCAATAAGCGGGAAAATACAAGTAAAATGTAATGTATTTTTACAGATATTAAAGTTAAACCCAGCACATATTGCTAGCCATATTGTAGGTTATACCTATAGGTGTGTAAATAATTCTGAGTTTGCCGTTGCCATACCTGCCCATGGATTATGTTGCAAGTACATACATACAACACATAACAGCAACCGAACCGCTGTTTGAGCCATAGATAAAAATATGAATAAAATATGGCCAACTGAGCAGAGTGACACACTTTAGATGGTGAACAGACGAAATGGAATATAAATATGTATATATATAAGTGCATATGTAAAGCGTGATCCATTTCCAAGCTCCCTACTTTGTTTTTAAGAAAAAAAAACTCAGACAATATAAATTTTAGTTTATTTTAGAAGATTATCTCATCCAAATATTGGCCGCCGTTACGTCTCAGATGGCACATCCGCCGTTGAATCCAATTTTCGATGATTCGTTCGAGCATTTCGACTGGTAACTGGCGAATGACACGCGTGATTTTTAGCTCCACGACAGATCTCTTTGGAACTTTTCAAGAATCCATACAATGAATCGGTGCCGCTTGGGAAGGTTGAGCGGTTTCATTTCTTGCACAAGCTCAAAGTTTTTTTTTTCGCTTTCAATTTTAGATTTCGACATAAAATGCGCCAAATCGTTCCATACGTCCGTCCGTGTTGCTGCGAGCTTCCCCGAATCGTGATGGACGTGGTCTATTTGATCAAATATTAGCCAATAATGAACGCTGGGTCTCAAGATGGGTGATGGTATTGCGAATAGTACACTCAATAGGCCGATTATGTTGTGCAGAGGTTTAGCGTAGCGGATGAAACTCATTATTTACAGAACAGAAGTAAAAGTACCTCTACTTGGATCACCCGTTATAACGCAGTAGCATAGGCGCGTTTAACAGTATTAAAGCACTAAAATTTGTACTGTTAAAATCAAAAAAATAAATGGAATAAGCAACAAATATTTTACAAACAAATGTAAATACATACTTTTAAATATATTCATATGTAATCTAGTATAAATGTAAATATAAATACACCGAGTTAACATATTTGCCATTTTTCTTTTAGGTCAGAAATCAGTGCCTGCCGCCTGTCTACATTGAAATCACTGTTTCACTCACAGATGTGTGTAGATTACAAAAACACACAAATAGGTACATACACACATTCTAGGAATATAAGGTAGAACTACATTCAACCAGCCAACCAACTACTCGCTATTACTTCAACTGGTTTTTCACTCACCTGACACTCGTACATGCCATGATCGCGCCGTTGCACAAATTTTATCTGCAGTGTCCACATATTGGAGCCGGGCGCATGCAATATCGCAAAGCGTTCGTCGTTGGTGTAGAGTTGAGCACCGGACGAAAGGATGTGCCAGTCGCGTCGACGTATCCAAGAAATTTGATTCTACGGCAGCGTGTAAATAAATAAATGAATATGTAATTCTTGCAGCACACATACATATACATATATGTATAATCAAATGTAAAAAAAAAGAGAAAAGTATTAAACGAAGAAAGGAAGCATAATTAAGTAAATGCGCAAGGAGCAGGTATGAGCGAGAGAAGAAGAACTCAAAAAAAAAGCAAAATGAGTGGTGGAAATCATTCATTAAAATTGGATTGAAATTTAAACCTCATGCTAAATATCTACTTTCAAAAGGAAATATCGATTTCAATCACATTTATAAATTTTAAAAGAGTTTTACGTATATTAGAGAAAATATATATACAATTGGATTTAAATAAACACTAAGCAAGAAATAATGCATCAGATGCAAGAGCAAAGAAAAGCTTTTTAAGAATAAAAAGTAAATGAAAAATAAATTGAAAAACGTAATGAATATCGGACTCTAATAGTGATATCACAATGAGCAAAAAAACTTAAGTTTGCTACCCACAATTCGTCAGCAATATTAAGTCAAATCAAATCAATAACATCCACTTATTTCGGTGGAAAAATTAAGTTTCTTAAGAAAATTTACCTACACCGAAAGTTTTTTTTAACGATTTTCCTATTTCCAGTTTATACATATATGCGTATGTATATTATATAAAAAATGTTTGTTTGTATGTTTGTTTTCTAGGGTCTCCAAAATTATCAGGCATAGCACCACAAAAAAATAGTCTAAAGGCATTAAATCTCACCATCTAGACGACCAATTGACCGGTCCAAATGTAAAATAAAATGTTCACCGAACTCGCCTCTCAATAAGTCCATTTTAACGGGTGCTGGGTGGAATGTGGCACCGTTCTTTGTTATCATCTCACAGTAGCGCTCACCATTCACAGTTACGTTACAGTACAATGTTGCCACCAGCCCATAAACCACACCGTACTGTTACTTTTTCTGAATGCATTGGTAGCTCTTGCAATGCTTCTGGCTGATCTTCACTCCAAAACCGACAATTCTGCTTATTTACGCATCTATTAAGGGGCACACCTTGTGTGCAATTTCAAAAAAAAAAATTACATATTAAAATTTCAAACAGTTTTTGAGTTATAGCAATTTAAAGAGCAGCTGCTCGGGAGAGTCTCAAAGGCTATTGTCTTAACGAGAACTTTTTTCTTAGATTTCATCCACGGAGAAGGCCGGAATCTCGGCAGGAGTGAAGGTCCTTTTTTTCGCGCCGTTAGAGGTTGACTATTATTTAAAAAATATTTAATTTTTTTCTTCAAAAATGTCACTGTATATTCTTGACTCATGTATGAATATATTCTTAAATTTCTCAAATAATTGTTAAAGTATTTTTTTTAATAAAAACTCCCAAAAATCACGTTTTTTAGGCCATTACACTTGGTGTGCCCCTTAAGACAAAAATGAGCTTCGAAGCGCCCGCGGAAGAGGAGCGCAGTGAACTTTCTTAAGAGAGAAGGCATTTTGATAAGAAAATTCAATATTTTGCAAGCGTTTTTTTTTTGTAAGACGGTTCATGGTTAAATTATATACTGAAGATGTTTGACAATGATAGAAAGCACGAAAAAATCAGATTTACATGTATTTTGAAGGCGTTAAAATATTCTTTGCAATATCAGATAAAAAAAATAAAGCAAACTACAGAAAGCCATCGCAATTTGTGGTCGGGTCTGTTTGTTATTTTGAAAAAGGGAAACAAATTTCATATAAAGAGAAAATCTTTCGAAAAAACACCACTTTTATATTTTGCTCCACCCTACTATACGTTTAAACGAGTTCAAAAAATGCAGTCTTTAACAATCTGCCTTTCCAGAGAACCCTTCCCTGGTGGGTAGTGCAGAAATAAGGCCGAGGGTCGAGAGTCAAAAAATGCCAGTTGCGGCAATGGTGCTTGGATGCACCACCCGATCGATGAATCGAGTAGTATTGTCTGTATGTGTGCATTTGATTTACTGTTTTGTTTTGTAATTTAGTTTGGCCACAACCCAGCCTAAGTTAAGCAAGTAATTTAGAGTTATTAATCATTTGATATGTTACTTGCTTTAATAAATAAAAAAAATATGCATATTTAGGAGTTGAGTAATTAAACTTAATTGATAGCAATATAATCTCCTAAATATGTTATACTTTGTATTAGATTGTTAAAAATTACCTATTAATTAAGGTATTTGCAATTGTTTTACAGTTGATTGAAAATTCCTAATACAGAATAATAAATAATTTACTATCTCTGAAAACCGTAAAAATATTTTGTTTTCTTTTCTCTGCCTTACTAAAGAAAAATTAGGCCCTAGCGGATATAAAATTTTTGTTTTTATGGTTTTCGATTTAATATCCATTAATTTAGTATGCATCAGCGCATAAAGTAATAAAGCGCAATTTATTATGACCACCACAAATATTTATTGCAGATTAAATTTTGTAAATTATCAATGAAATTATTTATTCAAAACGGAAAGTGTAAGTTAAGCCGGAAATGAAATAAAAAACTCATTTAACGATTTTTCAAAATAAGCTCTATACTCGTTTTCGTTTGGTAATGTTGAAAAGTGTGAGAAAATTATGAGCATTAAAAAAATTTATGCGGCAACGTGATTTGCTTTCAGCTGTAAACTCTGAGAAATATATTTCTTAATTGTGCATGAAGCAATGAATTAATGTGTATGTGCTTCACACTTTCAGGCGTTTGATTTTAGTGCTTTATTATTGAAAGGATGCCAAGCTGATTTTGAGTAATTTTTTTTTCAATTTTTAAAGAATGCGAGCTTTAAGGAAAATCGTTCCAAAATTTATTTTAAACTCTTCAATAATATTATTTATTATATACACATATACACATATTATAGAAATATATAATATTCCAATATTCCATATTTATATACGAACATCTTATTACCTAAGGTAGTAACTCCCCTAGAATGGTTGTGCGGAATTTTAATTACAACAATTTTCATATATATTTATTTGCTGTTACTTCATGGGTCAGAAAAATTGCATGTTTATACAATACCAAAGTGACGCCTCTGCGTAAAGAGTAGTTTTCATACAACAATTATTATTTTATTTTTAATTTCCTGCTAACCCATATTAATGCTTGGCGTTCAGTTATGAAATTAAATTGTAATTATTTTATTAACACGTTGGAAGCAAATAAAATATAATTTAAACATTTAACTGTTTTTAAATAAATTATCGGTGTTAGAAGGGTTCAAAGTTAACGTCATAAAACGGTTAACCAGCAGCGCATATTGAACACGAATAACCTCTGACGGTATTTAAATGCAATTTAATGTGCATTTATATTAGCGAACGTAGCTCATAAAGTTCGCGAATGCAATTACATGAAACATTTCATACCATAAACAGATACTTTGCGATTTTGTTTAGCACTGGCTTATGTGGTAAATGCATATATTTCGGCAACCAACAAAGAGTGCATATTGAATCTTGTATTAATTTTTAAATAAATTTTGTCATATTTAAAATTTCCCTAGCAAAATATTTTTTAAACTCGTATTTTTGTACAAAAATTCAATCACATGCAATTGTATTGAATGTGTTATTGAATTGATTTATAGCATTATTGAAATGCTTAAAGCAAAGCGAAATCAAAGGATCAATTTTGTAATATATAAACAAAAACAAAGAGGACTGTTAAAGAAAAAATTATATGAGTTGAATGCCTACAAAATTTGTTTCTTAAAATACTAAATATTTTAAATTCAAAAACCAAACAAACAAAATTTCAGAGTACTTTACTTAGTTCATATATGTGCATGCGTATAATCATACTTAAATTTCTTCTTTATGACCGTTCAAACCCCAAAATACATTCGATTATCTATCATTTCAGTTTAATTTGAATTTTCGGAGAGAGTATTAAGTTATTATCCTTGTTCCTTTAATTTACTTCAAGTATTTCATCATGAAAGTGTACAGATATATTTACTTGAATATGCAAATATTCCTTCCACAAATATGAATATGAACGTGTAAAAGCGTGTTCTGTTTACATAAAAGAAAATTGCTTTTATTCCCCTTTCTGTTCATAGTATTTCATTTTCCTTACACGTTTTTCTCTTTATCAATGCTCTTCCACTCCTTTTTATCGCAGACAAAACGTAAATACCTTTAATTATAATGAATCACATTGTTATGTTGCTTAACGCCGATATGCTTTTCACATTAATCGCCCTTACCATTATCTTCTTGCAAGTATCTCAGGAGTATAAAGTAATATCAAATATTAAGCAAAAAATGATATAAAGCAAATACAAAGAAATAAAAAATATAAATGCAAATCTAAAACAAAACAGAGCAAGCAAAAAAAAAAAGTAATAAATAAAATAGAATAAAATTAAGTAAAATCAAATTAAATAAAATTCAATTAAATTAAATTAAAATAAAAAATAAAATATAATAAAATAAAATCAAAAAAATAACTTAAAACAAAATAAAAAAATGCAAAATGAAATATAACAAAATATAAAAAAATAAAATAAAACAAAATGTAATAAAATAAAATAAAATATAATAATATAAAATAAAATAAAATAAAATAAAATAAAATAAAATAAAATAAAATAAAATAAAATAAAATAAAATAAAATAAAGTAAGTAAATATGAAAAATGTTAAGTAATAGTTAAATCATTTGAAAAAACTGTAAGGTAATCTTGTATGGCAGCCTGTGGGAATATTGAAGTCCTATATACTAAAAGGATAAAAAGGCATTGATCATGATAAAAAATATATGGAAAATACCATATATGGGTAAGTGCATTTAAGTGTTTGTATTATTGTTTCATGCTTTTTCATTTCACTGAAGCTATAATTTAATCAACCACGACAATTGTTAGCATTCAGAATGTTAAACGATTTTCCATTTTCTTTTAAACTGATAAAATAAGAATAAGAACAGCAACAACAATAGTCATATATATTATATATTTTATATGCATAAATGTGTATATATGTATATATATATATATCATGTATATAATTAAGTGTCGACTTCTTGTGCTACATAAGCAGTTTTAACAGCAACAAATGGCGAAGACATCGACTCAATTATATATAGATATATTATATACAATACGTGGCTGTTTATGTGTGTATTTGTAGGAAAAGCAGAAAACGTTGTTAACTATAGAAACGACACAGCGGCGCGGAAAAGTGACACGAAGCTAATTAGTCTTCTGCTTAACACTCAGACTCTTCTTCGTTTATTTGCTTGTTGGCTTTCTTATAATTCTTGTAGGATCTCGCTTCATCGATTTGTTCAAGCGAAAGTATTCGGATGAACATGTTGAATGTTCGCGGTGATACGTAGAAATTAAATACTCGTATATAAATGAAAACTCTTAGGGCGTTCCCTGTGGGCTTTATGGATGCCTGACATGACGATAATTGTAATTATGTGCGTCGCTGGAAATTTCTGCCTTTGAAATATAGATAAATTAATGCGAAATCTTTAAGAGTTTGTTGAGTATGTGTGAAGTTACTTTTGCCGATGAACTCAATTTGCTAAGAAAGAAACCACTGTCTACATTTACTACCATTACAATTACTTCGGTTGGGAAAAATGAAATTCAAAATCAGTAAGGTGAAATTAATTTTCATTTATGTCTCTTGAATACCACAGAGAACCTTTGATGTGTCTCGGAATAATTCATATATACATACATATTTTTTTCAATTATAATTTAGTACCTTTGAATATTTTTAAAGAATGTCATAAGTGAGAGAACATAAAAGGTGGATAATTTTGGGCGAATGATTTACTTAGACGGTCAAATTATTCACAGTTCACATACGAATTAGGAGTTTGGCGGCAGCCGAGCTACACGACCCGCTTTCCTACCAATCCCACCAAACACACAACAAAACCTTCCTGGCAGTCAATATTGGCTTTCCACCAAAGCCGTATTCATCGTACATTGTTGTAAGCTTCAGAACTGGCCAATTTTGGTTACGGTTCAGCAGCGATTACGACATGGGGTTCTTTTTTCGTATTCAGACTTTTTCAAGAGGACTGCCGTGTCGCGGTGCAGAGAAAACTTACTGCCTACCACGAAACCTTTCGATCGTCCACAACACATGCCGGGTGGGATAGATGTTGAGAGCTGAAGAGGCAAACAAAACGCAGTTGCAGGGAAGAAAAGAAACAGGTCGAATTCGTGAGTACGAGAAGCTTAGCCAACAAGGGCCGACAAGGGTTATGCTCGAGAACTCTACGAAAAGATTAGGCGGCTGACGGAAGGTTTCTAGACTGCAGCAAACTCTTGTAAAGCCCAGGGAGGTGATCTAGTGACGGATGCCCAGAGTATACTGAATTTATGGAGTGAACCCTTCTTCAGCCTGCTAAACGGCAGTCAAAATGAAACACCTGGCAATGGTGAACCCGAAATTCCAATTGAAGACTATAAAATTAATGCATCCTTACTGTACTCAGTCTGCGCCAATTAGGTCCTGTAGAGCGTATTGTATGAAAGACTGAACCCCATCGTCAACAAACTGATTGGACCTTATCAGTATGGATTTAGTTTTAGTAAGTCAACCATTGATCAGATATTCACCATGCGACAAATCTTGGAAAAGACCCGTGAAAGGAGGATCGACACCCACCACCTCTATGTTTTAATTTAACGGTTATGTATACTGGTGCTAGACAACATCAAAAGTGCATTCAGAATTGGAAAGGACCTCTCTGAGCCGCTTGTTACCAAGCGAAGTTTGAGACAGGGTGACCCTTTGTTGTGAGATTTCTTCAATTCGATGCTGGAGAGAATGAGAAGAGCTGAACAGAGAAGGCATAGGCTGATACTATTGGCCTCAGCAACCATGCCGTGAGTTCTGCTTTCTCCAGGCTTGACGGAGAAACGAAGCAAAAGGGTCTGGTAGTGAATGAGGGCAAGAAAAAATATTTCCGGTTATCAAATAAACAATCATCGCATTCGTAACTCGGTTCCCACGTCACCGTTGACAGTCATAACTTTGAGGCCGTATTTAAATTCGTCTATCTTAAAACCAATACTAATACCAACAACAATATTGGCCTGGAATCACACTTACCAACAAGTGCTACTTTGGACTGATGAGGCAATTAAAAAGCAGAGTTCTCTCTCGGCGAACGAAAACCAAACTCTACAAGTCGCTCTTCATGCCCGTCTTATTATATGGTGAAGAAGCGTGAACGATGTCAACACTTTATGAGTTCGGCCGTGGGAGTCTTCGAGCGAAAGGTTTTGCGAACAATTTATGGTCTTTTGCGCATTGGCAACGGCGATGGAACTATGAGCTGTACCAGCTATATGATGATATTGACATAGTTCAGCAAATGAAGAGGCGGCGGTTAAGCTGGCTAGGTTATGTCGTTTGAATGGATGAAAGCCCTCCAAATTAGAAAGTATTCGATGCAGTACCCGCTGGTGGAAGCAGAGGAAAAGGACGACCTCCACTCCGATGGAAGGTTCAGGTGGAGAGAAACCTGGTTTCACATGGTATTTCCAATTGGCGCCAACCAGCAGAAAGGAGAGATGAATGGCGCTCTTATATTTATTAGAAGAAGAAGACTTTTTCTAGGGATTCAACATTTTTTTATGCAATGCTTAGCTCTTGAACAATCAAAACTATGATCGCATGATGGTCAGATTCGACGATTTCCATTGTATTTATGTGGAAAATTGGCCTTCCACCCCAGTAAGCATCTTTTACCACAAAATTATTGGAACGTAATTGACGAAACTAAAATTAAGTATGATATACTGTAAGGGTATCTGGACCATAAGCACTACTCACATTTTCTGCTGCCTACCAACCGTTTTCGTCTTTATCGCAGAAAAATGGTAGAAATAGCGAACTTTATCTTTGCCGGTAATGGATGACATAATATTTATTATAGGGAATCCAGTTAATTGTGAGCATAACGAAGTCTTTTAGGATGTTAGATTAATAATTTCAAAAATTGTTTATGAAAATTGGTTGGCATAAATAGAATATCCACTTTTTTTTGACGTGGAAAATGCCCGGTATTTTAAAATTGGAAATTAAATATTTATAATACTAAGAAGTGAAAGTTTTGTTCACAAAAACTAATTATTTGATTTTAATTACAGTTTGAAATGAGTTAATTTCGTCCTTTTAAGGACACTTCAATTTAAATAAATAAAAAATTGATGAAAAAATTAAAAAAATTAATTGTTGTTTTTCATTTCTTTTCAATATAAATAATAAATAAATAAATGAAAATTTAATTAATGGACATGCACGTGTGTTATAAAAAAAATTATTACTTTATTAGATCAATAGGCATGCAAGCGTGTCGAATTCAAACAATTAAATTTTAATATTTGAATTCAAAGCAATAATAAATTATTCATGCAGAGAGAAAAAATTGCACATATTCATGAAAAAATCTTGTATTTACAATGAATTAAAAAATAACGTAAAAACATCAAACATTTTATTTTAGACAAACCCAATTTACACCCACTCTATCCACGCCGGACACTTTGCAAACCAGAAATGCTGTACCTCCCAACTGGACGGTCGTGTTATGCGCCATCTGCTGAAACAAAGGCAATCATAGTGGTAGCGGGAAGAGAAAAAGTATGTTGAAAAATAGAACAGTTAGTAGTTTAAATTAGAATTTTTAATTTAGTATTTTATCAACTTTCTCCGTTTGTCTTCTATTACGAAAGCTACTATCATATTAATTTATTAAGCCTAATGAGCATTGTTGTTTTGTAAAATTATTTTGAGCTCATTAAAGTGATAATTATAAAAAACGGGATTTTCAAAATTTGTTAAACTGAAAACTACATATGCTTGTTGCCATTAATATTATTTTTTATTAGATATAAAATATTTTTAGATCACCGAACGTTTCAAAGCTTCGCTTTACTTTACATATTTTTTTCAAATTTGTTAACTAAGTAAAAGTTTTAAACAATTTGAGTAAAAATTATTTCTAAAAATACATTATAATATTTTATTAGTTTTTTATGCAAAAACCCTTACCTCACTATCCTCGAACATGGGACTATCACTAGTATCGAGATTGTTATCCAATTTTGAATCTGGATTTATACCGCCTCGCATCCATAGCTTTTTCCAATCACTGTCCGTGAGTATTGATTTTTGTTCTGAAATATGAAAATTATAATAACAAAAATTAAAACTATTAAATATTTTCTGAAGCAGTTTTAGAATAAAAATGTTTTTTATATATAAATTTTCCATTAAATCCATCCTCAAACTAAAAAATACATCTCTCATTACCCATTTTTTTGTTTGATCTCAAAATTGCTGAAAATTATTAAAATAAATTGCCATCAAAGTAAAGTTTTTTTTGTATGTGACGATAACAAGCGTATCCAATATATATTTTGGTGAGGAAAAACATACATATACATTCCCTGTCGTGACTCATTCTCTAACCCTTACTTCAGCGGTATTACGAAACAATTTAAGTAATTTGATTTAATGAAAAAATTAATAAAACTCCAACAAAGGAAAATAAGGAGAAAAACCCATTTTAGTAGTATTTGGAATGCTTGAAAAAATGAAAGGCGTTTAAGCAGCCACCAAGAAGAAAGCAAGCAACGCAATAAATTGACGCACAAATTGTTGAAATAATTACTTGGAAGGGCAGTGCAACAAAAATGTATTCGATTAAGACGACGGCGCTGACATGAACGGCAATAATAGCGATTGGTAGAAGGAGCGACGCAAGAAATAAAAATAAAAACATACCAGTTGGTTGATATTAAAAAAAGTAAAACTAATGTGAAATGCGCATAGAAATTTGTACTTTGTTGAACTTACTAAACTTGGTAATTTATCAAGAACGCGGCATGAGTAATTGCAGGGTGCGCCGATTGGCAGGCAACATGTCTGCGTCAAATGTCCAATCAATACAATATTTATTAAAAATTAACCTCTTTGGATATTTAATTAATACTGCGTATATGGCAGCATGGGCGGGGATTGTTACTAACAAAAGTTCAATCGAACATACGCACAGCGACCAATTTAATTATAGCCAATAAAATAACAACAGAGTAATAATGATTACATGTAAGTTTGACTTAATTACGCATAATTAGATTAATTACATTAAATACGTTCAACTTAAAAATGATATTTTAAGAATTAAGCATAAAAAATAACAGGTGAGGTTATTTCCTTATTGTTATTATTATTATTATTTTTGTAATGAGCTTCAGTCGCTGAAAAAAATAAATAAATTAAAATAAAATAAAATAAGATTAATAAAAATAAAATAAAATAAAATAAAATAAAATAAAATAAAATAAAATAAAATAAAATAAAATAAAATAAAATAAAATAAAATAAAATAAAATAAAATAATATAATATAAATTAAAATAATATAAAAGACAATAAAATAAAAGAAAAAAAAATATTGAATCAACCATTTCCAATCAGAAAAGATTATGTGATGCCTGTTTTCATAAAAAGTAAGGTATTAAGCTACTTTTTAAATATTTATTCTAAAAATAATGATTTTTTTTTATAAAGAAACATTATGGTTTTTTAGTAAGGAAGCGTTTTAGTCAAAAGGGAGTGACAAGACTGTTTACTTATCCAACCTTAAATTATTGAACCATGCCTTATTACAATGTCAGAAGGCAATGAAAGTCTTAAGAATTGAGGATCAAAAATTTCAGTTTATTAAATTACTTTACGATTGAAGACTCATTGAACAAGACATCTTTTTGACTCTCTATTCTATTCATAGAGTCTAGGTCTCCATTTAAATTGTAGTTATGCTTTTTTGAATGAATTTTTCTGAAATTTTCTGTATCACACATAAAACAAAGAAGCTATTTTTCTATAATTTCCTCAAAATATACTAACATCGTAAGAATACAACGATTGGCCGAAGGTAAGGAATGCGGAAAATTATGAAAAGACGCAGTGGCATTGGCATAAATACTTGATCCTATTATATAAAAATGAGCAAAAGTAGCAGCAAAGAATTTGTTCTTACTGATTAATCGAGTATTCGCTCACATTTTTACGATGCCACGCGTTCGAATTTGTATATTAATTTATAGACATGTAGATGTGTTTGTACAAAACAACACGCGGCGTCAGAGCATAACACAAGTCACTCAAGCAAACAAAGAAAATTATGCGAAAAATAAGTACACCCATTGACTTTTGTCATAAATTGACACGACACGCCAGCGAGCGACCTCATCAGGGATGATAAAATGCCAGAGCCTACGACATATTGTGCTTGCTAGCGAATATAATGAGTGTGGAAGATTTAGAATTAAGAGTGACCTACACTTCACCATACATATATGCTGCACAGTGGTGTGTACATTTGAGTGTGCTCTCATTATTGATCCCAAGCCAACCAGAGCTGGGTTCGAATCGAGTGTTCCGTGAACGTATAGCTCGTCATGTAAGTTTAAGTGTTTGGCATTACGCCGTACGTGAGCATGTACTCGTTGTCGTTATTCGGTATCATGCGTTCGGAAAGGCCATACATTAACGAGTATTTCGTTAGGAACTGCCAATCGATGACAAAATTGATTTCGTAAACAAGCAAGCAATAAAAATTTGAGTAATTTATTTTAAAATATAAGAAAAAATATTGTTGAATTAATCAATAATATTATTTTAGGACAAATGCAAAGAAAAAAAACGTGGCACAAAATAAATTCATCATTGAATTCATGCGGTCATATCCAAATTAAGCAAAAAACATTTTGTCAACCTGCACCCAGGTTAAAGCAAATGCTTGGTCCGCCGGTTAAGGATATCAAAACGTGGAAGAAAGTACACAAACATAAATTTTCCTTTGATTCGAAATTTTTCACAACGTTATATTTCAGGTATACGCTGACCAAAATTACTGGGTGAAATAAATCTTGCAAGTTCCTTTAATCGTCTCTTTACGATTCGTTGACATTGACATCACTTTTATCGGAAGATAAAGAAAAGAGTAAAACACCGCCCATAATTGCTTTTATTCGCCAAAATATAAGGCATTTGAACATAAAATTTTTTACATATCCAAATAATTACGATCTGTTTGCTTTCACATGGCATCATCTCAATAATTTTATACGATTTACGTATCACGGAATTCTCTTTCATACGACTGCCGATACGAACGCGGAACGCTCGATTCGACTCCTACTCTTGCTCGACATATTTTTCATTTGCACATTTCTGCTGTGCTGGCGACATAACTTCAAATATTCTTTCAAGCTAAATCGCGAGCTACATACTCATATAAACAAAAGCGTACTACATTTCCATATCAGACACAATAGCTGGCAACTCGTACTTGCTATCCAACCTTAGTTGAAAAAACCCGCAAAGTTGCTCCCCTACTTTTAGCCAACAATTTGGCATGAGTCAGCGCTGGCAAGGGCGAGCCATAGCGTTCACAGAGTGCTTCGTTAATGTTAACAATGAAAATATCGACTGTTGATAGCCATGAAACTGATGATGGCGGCCAACAGAAAAATTCTGCGCAGAAGAGGAGTCCCATCGTCAAAGGGAAACATTCTAATGGGCAAAAGCTGTGAGGAAACGACATAAGGTAGCATGCTTTGTGAAAATGAATAAAAAAGTACTGAGAGAAAACAGCGGACAAGGAAAGAAAAAAATCGTATTTACGACCATAAATAATATACTTTTATCATCCGATATGACGCTTTATTATTTCAACACCACGGATTTGCCATGCCGCATAAAGCAACACACACCAAACATACTTTGCCATACATACAATACATATACAAAGGACTAGGCAAAATGTAAGCATTTAGACACGAATAGTTGGTAAGTTAACAGGAATTACTTGTTGTAATAGTTGGGTTGACTTGGTCTGGTTATGGCAGTGTTCTATGTAGTGTATGATAGGCAGTCAGGCAGCAAGTGGCGACAATTGTTATTTGGTGAAGCCGCAGATGTGTCGGCAAAGCATCATAGCGAAGGACGCCGAGTATAACGCAGGCATAGAAGGAAGGTCGGGACAGTAGTCATATAAGTAAATGTTGAAGCTTCTGTTTAACCCATAAATGTAAGACAAAAGCAAAAGTGGTGCAAATTACAATAAATAATCGTTATATAATTCTACCACGTAGATAGAAATAAGAAAGAGCTGCATTCGACTACAAGTCGCAGAATTTAAAATCACAGAAGAACCCTAAATTGAGCCAAGTAAAATCTGAATCATTGAAGAGAATAAAGCCGGAATATAGTAAAAAATCATAACATAATCATAACAGGCAGAATAGCTAATGAGTACTAACGGCTAATCCATGCAGAGGTATTTTTTTTCAATATCTTCTTTTTCCAGAAAACGCTTGAGTCGTGTCAAGTTGTCATGATATTTCTCTTCAGCATTGCCCGAAATTTATTACGAAACTTCAATTATGTAAGGAATGTGTTTCGCGCACTTCGCTCAACTTATGGTCCGCATAATCCTCGTAATGACCATACTATTCGTAACACTAGCACCCATTTGGATACTCAGTATTCATGTGGTCATGACTGAGAGTTCGGCACCATTCTCAGCAACTCGGACTGACCTTTGAAGTGACTTGGCACATTTTACGTAGAGATTTGAAATTGAAAGCATACAAAATAGAGCTTGTGCAAGAGCAGAAGCTGCTCGACCTACCCAAGCGACATCGTTTTGTTCTGTGGGCTCTTGAAAAGATCCAAGGCGATCCAACGTTTTCAAGGAAAATTTTTATGGCTCAATGGGTATGTAAACAGGAAAATTTGGAACAAAAAAAAAAAAAAACAGCGGTTTGGTGTTATTGGATGGAATAAATTTATGACTCTCTGAGGTTTTAGCTGGAGGTGATTGCATACTTATTGGGGATCGAGCCTAATTATTCCAAAAGGTCGGCATTTATATAATAAAATCATAGGTGCCAAAAATAGATACGATTTTATTTACCTAAGAAAAAGAACTTTCTGGCCTATGGACTTAAGGAAATTTCCTGATTGACTTTGCAGTCACTGAAAACGTAGATAGGCGTACGAGTATAGTATTTGCTGAAACCTGTGCTGACTTATTTTCAGATGATATCTCAATAATCATTAAATTTTACTAGCAATTTCAAGTTAGCATGCCTTTCGACTGA